GCGAAACATCTTTCCTATGACCCTCACAAATGGAGTCATTGTAATAGAAACCCTGGTCCCTATGAACCAGAATGTGATCGATTCTGGTGCAGAGCCAGCACGGGATTTGCAGCTCGAAGAACTTGGCAAATTCGTTGGCAACAAACGCAAGGAACCCATCAGCGAAGAGCAGAATGATCAGCGTCCATTCGAGCAAAGCGTAGATCACAAAATGCGGCACCCTCCCCAGCTCTTGCTCAACATAACGAGTAAAAGATCGCTTCGTCATACTGGTTTTTTCGCTGTTCCAACACGAAAACAACCATAAAACAAACAAATGCCGGCCTACTCTCTATCTGAATTCGTTCGGAAACAAGAGAGAGAGCACGACAATGGAGTCAAAAGTGCTTCCTTCTCAAAAGTGCTTAAGATCATGACCTTGGCGGAGCACGAAACCGTTCCGAGATCACGACCTTTCGCTGTGTGTTGGTGTGTGAACTGTCTAAAAGAAGGAGAGGGCAAGGTTTTCCGAAGCAAGGTTTTAAATTTTGGGTGGTGGAATTTTGCTGGCTATACATGGAAACATGCAAGAAAATTTGGTTTGGAGAAAAATGGCGGTTGTTAGGCTTGGCATGTACCTGAAATAACGGTCTATCATGCACTTGCCAACCAACTGGATTAGGGTTAAACGTCAGCGTTTTGTGAGAGGAGTCTGATCCGCTGATTTGTTCTACTTATAGCTTTGTGTTCCAGAAGAAATCTTGGGGGTGATAAGGACGTAGGTTAGTTTATCTATCATAAGCCTTGGAGTTGGAGGCAAATTTGCACCAGAAACATTGTTACGTGGTGTTATCATTTCACGTGTTATATTTTAAGTGTAATAATAATACCACATGACGGTGGTCCGTGTACATGAAAAAAAATTAGGCCAAATTGCACAAATTTTGTACCATTTTTCGAAAGTAGGCCAAATTACACTTATAGTCTCTCTGGATTCACTTTCCTCTGCGCGCATGAAAAAACCACTCAAAGTTTTGTGCCATTTTTCGAAAGTAGGCCAAATTGCACTAATAGTCTCTCCGGATTCACTTTCCTCCACGTAGTTTTTTTTATCATTTGTAGTCTTGGTTTGTTTTGGTTTTAGTCCAATCCATCACATGTTATAATTTAAATGTAATAATAATACTACGTAATAGTGTTCCGCGTACATGGAATAACCAAAGTTTTGTGTCATTTATCGAAATTAGGCCAATTGCATTAATAGTTTCCTCGGTTCACTGTCCTCCACGTAATTTTTTTTCTTGCATTTTTGTCTTGTAGTCTTGGTTTGTTTCACTTTTAGTCCAATCCGTCAACATCCATTTTAGTGCATGTCTTCTTTGACAACGCTAGATTCAGAGGAGTTTTGCATGACTTGGAAGGATTGGACTAAATAAAGCCACGAGGATGGAAATGGTAAGAAAAAAAAAACATGGTGACAAAAGTGAAATCTAGATGAAGTACGGGGACCATCGGTGCAACTTAGCTTCGACATTAAGAAGATTAATATGGAACAACAACAAAAACAACACCCAAAGCCTTACCCCACTAAGTGTGGTTGGCTATACGAATCCCAGAACACCACTGTGGCCAGTTAAGTTTTGCGCCAAATCTTTCTTTAGCTCCGAGAAATGAAAAAAAAAGACGAAATTGAAAAAGCTAAACATGCAATCACATTATGTAGCTTCTACTCCAAACAAAGCCTCTAACCTTGCTTCTAGACAACTCCACGATCCCATTGAATTATCTTCTGGAAAGCTTGCACATGCCAATGGAATTATGCAAGGCAGGCAGCCATGCATTTACTTCTGTAGAAATGTAGAATGTAGATGATGATGGCACTTTAACTGACCCATTCCTGGCATTTACATTGTCTTTCTGTATCACCCAGTAATTTGCTAACGATTGCTACAGAAAAATCGAATCACCGGAGTATCTGTCAATCTCAGAATACTTGTTGCGTGATTCGACAATGCAAACTACTCCATGAAACATATATTGAAAATGCAGTTCTGCAACTCACAGCAACAACAATTACTTTTGATATATGTGTACGAGTTTCAACGAAAATGTAATTTTGCTAATTGTGTAATCACCACATCCAGTAGTTCATAGATAACCATTTCACATTTCCTTTACTATCAAATCCATGCGATAAAAAAATATCGTCTATTTGGAATTCCATATGCAAGCTGACCTATTGGTTGTCAGTCTCTCGCATGGTGGGATAAAACTTAGCTTAATGACTGTAAAGGATGTTGTTTGAAACCCAAGCAACTGTGAACGAGCTTAGCTTGTTGAGAGAACATTTGCAGACATGTAAGGCGATATGCAGCCCTGCACCTGAAATTCAATAGATTCAGTAAGAAATAACACTTGGTAATATTGGATGAGATAGAAATATATGTTAGGTGATCCGATATGCAGGTTCTTCTTTTCATTTACTGAAGGAAGTTAGAAGGGAATTAAAGCACTTCCAAACGAGCCTTAATGTGGCGAATCAAGTTCTTCCAATAGATTTCCAATAAAGTAGTAGTCTGCGAACGACAAGATTCTGATATTTTGTTCAGTGTATGTGAGTGATTATGTGTATACTACTGTAGACATGCCCATAACATTCTCCTAGCTGTTGTATAAACTTCCCTAACATGGTGCTACTAGAGTACTAGAGAAAATTTCAATCACAATCGAAGATCTCCAGTTTCTGAAAACGAAACCACACACATGCACATGCACTACACCTAGCAACCCCTGTAATAGTGGTTAACTGACTGATTGACTATCCATGCAACAAGAACGTTTCTTCCCGAACTGTTATTCCTTCTCTAAGATCATATTGTATTTGGAAAAGGGCAAAGAATCCAAACTTGAATGCATGTGAGAGACTATGAAGAAGCAAACAATTGGTCTGAAACATGTATTACATGGGAGGGGTTCAGTTACCTGCAACAACACAGTAGGAATTTGGATATAACCTTGCAGGAAAAGATTGACCTTCTCCAGAGTGCCTCTTGGAACAGGTGTTATCACATATAGCAAGCCTTTGACTGTGTCAATGCCTCTCACAATTCCTATTATTTTTTAAAAAGGCATCAATTGAAATGAATAAGAACCTTAGTTCAAATTGATTGCTTCAACCTATCTATATGTTTCTGCATCGCACCAACAATGAAAATCTGGATTTCCCTAATAACATAAACATAAAAAACTAAAGAACCTAGTTTCCTGGCACCCTGAACCAAGTTCTAGAACTAAGTCTTCTTAATTTTTCTGAAAACTCACTTCCACACGTATTGGAGCCAGAAAACATAAAATTACGAGCAAAGCTATACAAAATAGATAAAATATAATAGACAAAATGTTGAAAAACAGAGTAACCTACCAAGACCAACACACCAAGGTAAATCTTTTGATCCTCCAGAGCTAACTGCCAAGCCAACAATGGTTGCGTTCAAACTGTAGAAGCTCTCAGCACCTGGGACCTGGTATAAAAGAACTAAACTGTTACAAGCCTTAATTGAAATTATAATAGCAATTAATAGTAATAAAAGTCCCTTGGTTGTTGACACAAAATCAAAAGCTATGAGGTATAAAAGTAATCACCACTAAGCTCTCCCGTAACATTTTCTACAGACCCTCACAGCAAACAGGAATAGAATGCAAAATTCACTCGTACATGTAAAAGACACACAGATTTTAAAATTTCCGAAACTTGCAGTGAGTCGATCAACAGTCAGAACTAAGAACCGACCTGACAATGGAGATGTCTAATCTTGATGCTAGATATTGGAACTTCATAAGGAGGTTGAGAGGCCAGAGCATTAGCAAGTTCTTTGATTGTAGTAATGTTTAGGCTACTTGAAAAGCACTGCCTGAAATAAGCCAGTATTCGTACATCATGCAACAGACGTGCATCCTTTTGTACTAGAACCCTGCAACACAACAAAGATAATATGTCACGGGAAAATCCAGTACATCCATATAACTCCTTGTCTTCTTCCACCAGCATATGCTGCTTATGAAGCAAAAATAATTTATGTAAATTCCCGACACTTGATCACTTGATTCAATAATCTTGTATAAAAGATGAATTCTTCTAAGCTTAACTAAAAGTGATCACCTCCTACATATATTTTATGGAGCATACTAAAGAGATTTGGCACTTGGTCTGAAACTAATGTGACCATTGCAACTTAGTATTTTAATCAAGAAAAGAAGAATTATACATCATATAAATGATTCTCGAATTAAAAATTAATAATAACGAAATTAAATGTACTGGAAGGGAGGAAAAGCAATTAAAAAAACTGTACAAATAACCTGCATCCAAAATAAAAGTCTCCAGATATTCTTGAAAACGCTAAGACTTACGATCTATTGAAAGAGTCCTGACGAGCTGAATTGATCTCTATCAGATTTAGCATAGCATCATGATCCTCATCTAACCAGAATGCCCCACTTGGTAGATTCTTACTCTTGGCTGATATGTTTATTTTAACAACATGGGTAGGGGCAATATATTTCAACATATCCACCAATAAATCATAACCAACACCTAGTACACAAGAGGAATGAAGAAATCATATATAATATTCATATCCAAACAGCGATAACCATCAAAAGAAGATTCATAAAATAGCCACTTGGCCTTTGCCTCAAACGGTACATGGCTAGGATGAAACCTGCGAAAATTTAGTTCATAAAATATCTACAGAAAAAAAGCCAGAGGGGGGCAATTGACCAAGTGAAGAACAAACAAACAAGCAAACAAAACTACAGATAGGGAGATTTTGTTCAATCACAATTAAAAGAGAGGAGCAATTGACCAAGTAAAAGAGCATACCTTTCACCCAGCCAGGTGTATTCACAACAAGAGGCAATCCAGTCTTGGTAGGTCTATCACTCTGGTCAGATAAGCAGTATTCCTTCTTATAGTAATCATATAAAGAAAATATATAGAATTCAAGTATGTTGTAGGATTCGTCTTCGAAGAAACATCACCAAAGAAAAGACATCTGAGAAAAAGAGACAAATTATAAGTCATCAGATTCCAAGATTCCCTTTATTCATTACATCAGACCTAGTATAAAAAAATCCATGCATGGCAGGAGAGAGAGGGAGAGGAGGACTGAACTCAGGTTAACTAGTCCCATTTCAAATTCTGTGAACCGAAAATTTCCAGCTTTGTAATTATAATTTTAACTCCAAGTCTTGTTTATACCGTGTGATCCAAAACCGATGCATACAGCTTTGATTATAGAGCAACTAATGTCTTCACTGAACCCTTACTAAGTCCCGAATTTTCATACCAATTGCATTGTTCCAAAATTTCTCAATTGAGAACAACACTCCATTCCAAATGCTATATAAGGAATCAACGTCTACTACAACATTGATGAGCTAAATTGAAATCTTTATGGTAAAAAATATGATAAACCATTTTCTCAGCTTGAAACTAGCAAAAAAATATACGTAACCTTGCTCCGAAGGAATGTCAAATTACAATATTCATGCCCTACATATTTGTCATCTACTACATAATAATGAGTGTATTCCGGTAAGCACTATAACTACTACTGCTAACAAGTTCAAAACCATAACGAGGCAGAGGACTGTTCATACCTCTCCGGTGTCTTCAGATGCGGGATTGTCAAATCTATTTGTAACCAAAAAAGAAAAGAAAACTCAATTAGCAATCAAACCAAACAAAACCGGTATTCTAACATGAATACATGATTAACAATCCTTTCAAATTCTAAAGCAAATTATTCACAGTAAGTGCAGAAAATAAACAATTGCCTGGAGTGGCTTCATCTATTACAGTGAGAGATACAAAACCAGGAGGACTGAACTCCGGTTGACCGACATCTGTATCCAAGTAACCAACTTTTTTATACCTGGAAACAAAATTACAGAAAAACATGGTAAAAAACAAACCTACATACCCAAAAAAGTAGTAAAAATTTAAATTCAAAACAAACCGAGTTAAAAGATGAAAAATTTATACACATTCACTCCCAAAACAGAGAGAATCCAGGTAAATAAGGTGACCCAATTCAGCTAACATGAAAACAAACACAAAGAAATCAACTTTTACTCAAAAAACTAATCATCAGAGCCGTGAATTTGATCAACGGTTACAAAGTGGGGAAAGGGAGCTTGAAGCTGACTGACCTCCGGAGAAAAATGTTGAGGAGGTGGCGGGAAAAGGTGGATTTTCCGCAGTTTTTAGCGCCACATACTAAGGCAATGGGTGGCGGCCAAGTGACTGAATCGTATGCTATACAGTCTGCTGCCTCGGACCACTCCGGCGGTATGTAGATGTTCGGCGACGGAGTTTCGGGTCCTGACGGCGAGGCCATCCCTCTCCCCCTCTCTCTCTCTTGGCTTCTTTCTCTCTCTACTGTGTGTTGCTCTGGAGCAGAACTAGAGCGGCTTGGAGGCAAAATTGCAATGTCACACATGCAGGTTTCATGATTTTCCAACGGAAAAAGCGTTTTACTTGGTTTGACCCACGACGGTTCTGGTTCGGATTCGTATTCGGGTTGGTCATTGGTGGGCCGAACCGCCGAAGCCCAAAAAGTCCGTAAGATAGCAGCCCTGACCTGAGTCATACATTGGGATCCAAATCCGATCGCTGGAGATTTTTCAATATGATCGGTACACGAGATGGTATACTAGGTGTCATTATATAAATAGTGAAATACTTATGTTAAAAATTTAATAATTTAAAAACTAAAATTTCTCACTACTTATATAAAAACACATGGTGTACCACTCGTGTTCTGGTTAAAATGAAAAATTTCTCTCTAGTTACAAGAGATTTGTGAGTGTGATCGGAACACGGGATGATACACCACGTGTCACTATATAAATGATGTAATATATGTGCTAAAAACTTAATAACTTAACAAAAAAAATTTTAACCACTTATATAAAAACATGTGATGTACCATTCATATTCCGATCCTAATAAAAAATTTCTCCCCAGTCACATCCGAATCACACACATGCCACGTGTCCCATTCGACCAGACATCCCTTTCATTTCAAACAAACTAATATATTTACACACTTGACCCAAGAAAACACATATTTACACACACGGCCCCTCCACCCGATACTATTGACCGGAGTCAAACCCTTATTTAAAGAAAATAAAACTCACCAAAGACAAAACCAAAGTCAGGCATTTCTTTTTCAACATGTGCGAGTTTCACACAAGCCCGTGTAAAAATTTATCAGTTATCATCCAACTTTTTTTTCGTTACAAATTTGATTTGGATCTAATTTATGCTTCTGGGTTCGTATTGACGAGCAATTAAAAATAAAATAAAAGGCCAGATGTGCTTTAAGTAGAAGGCAAGGCAAACAAAAGGCAAAGGTGTGATTTAAAAAAAAAAAAAAAAAGAGGCAAAAGGCAAAGGCGAAGGTGCTTAAAGCATAACCGAAGCCTTTTTTTTTTTTATTAGAGCACAACAATCGGCTTTACGTTAAGAATTTAAGACCATCTCCTATCGAAGGTTGGTCAGAAGGCTAAAGTTCTCAAAGAAATTAATATTTTAATGAACAATACATGACTGTATTTACCTTCATCTCCAACCGAGGGCCAAAGGGTCATAGGGTTCGTTTTAGTCTTGTCACAAAAAACCGTCTCTAACTGAGGGCCAAACATAATTTATTATTTAAAAACTACAACTTAAATTCAAATCCAATGGTTAAGTGACATCAACTTGCCGTTGGATTTGAATTTTTTTTTTTTTGCTATAAATAGGGTGGATATTGGCCTATAATTCACAGAACTTTGAATTTAATCTCTTTCAATTCAAGTTTGCAATGAATTTCAACTTTGGATCCTCTTTGAATTTCAACTTGGGTTCCTTATCCAATTAATTATTTATCTCAACCATTTTACAATTGTCTAACCACTCGTTAATTCGTCCAAGCTTTCAACCTCATGGTCAGAATTCAAGCACATATACAATAGTTAGCTTACTTTATAACTCATATTAATCTACGAGGAAGATTGGCATGCATACCTCCAGGCTCTCTTAAATTTAGAATTACTTAAATCGATTGAAAAGCCAATGGATGGGGAGAAGGACTTGCACCTGTTCGAGCATGCTTTCTTCCTTTCTGGCCTTGTCCACTGACAAAGTCAGACATGACTTAAGACGGCAAGGGGTGTATCTGATGCGGCATCAGATCTTTCTATTTCGGGGTCTTCCCAAGCAAAAGAAGAACCGGCTCGGGCTGCCATGTAGGAACACTGATAAGTCTCCCTGTAAACAAAGCTACGAACTTCTGCCTTGTTTGGTGATTTCTGGCAAAATCGAGGTGACAAACGTGATGGGCTCGACGAGGACTTGAGTTAAGATGTAAGGTTGGTCAAAATCGAGGATTAAAGGAAAGAGGTATAAGATTTGTGTTTAGGGGAGCCCAAAACGGAAACAAGAACAACCCCCTCCCTTTTTTTTTCCCTTCGATCATCCAACCCCCCCCCTCGGCCACGGAAGAAGAAAATGGTCTCCTCCCTTCTAGAACAATCTCCTGTTTTTTTTTTCCCAATTTACTATATTGCCCATCACCTAAAAGATTAAAAATCCGCAACTTCTTCGTCGAAATTCCGATTAGCACCCAATTTGTGGCAACGAACATTATTCAAATATACTAAATTATATGTCAAACGTGTCACGACGACGAGGTTAACAAAAGTCAACACATCTCCTTACGGGCATTTTGATCTTTTCACTTATCAATAAATTTTACGTTGTAAATTATAATAATTTCTGAAAACAAACTTTAAAAGTTCTTAATTAAATTTTTCATAACCATAAATCATTTATTCTCGATTTACTCCACATAACCATGTATTTTAAATTTTCAGGGTATTACACTAAGAATCCTTGATGACTAGGCCATGTTTATTTCTTTATCTCGTCATGTATAATTTGATAGCTTGCATTTCACGAAAAATAAAAGATTCTAATAATTTGTTAACCTTTAATAATTCTGGTTTAGATCATTGAATTTTCCTTTTCTTGTGACAAAATATTTAACTTCATTTATAAGGTTATTTTACAGAGATTATACTATGCAGTGTTGGAGCAATATTAAAAAAATATGAAAATAATACAAGAATTTTAATGATAATAATCATAATGAAAATTACAACATAAATTTAAATTGTATACAAGATTAATATAAACAACAGAGAAAGTAAGAAATACTAACAAACTTATTGTTCGTTGGAAATTAATTTATAATATTTATTTAATTTTTTAATGAAAATAAAGAGTCAAGTGTTATAATTGAATTCAAATTCATGAGTTGCATCGGTTAATTGGAACTTTAATCAACAATCAAATGTTTCAAAATGGATGGCTCAAATTCTATAAACTCAAGCATCCCACCTGTCTAATGCATACAAAAACAAAATAGATTCTTACTCTTGAGAAACGGGGTTTCCCCTCTCTATTTCCACCAGGGTTCAAAGATTTAAAGTGCTTCAACTTTGGATTATATATTGTTAAATTCTGGGAGACAAACGCCTACCGAACTACGAGTATGGGCGAAATTCTGTCTTTAGGACATTGCATTCATGCAAGTCTCAATCTCCAAGTTTGTCAGCATTTCTTCCTTTCTCTGTTGTTTATATTAATCTTGTATACAATTTATGTTGTTATTTTTGTTTGTACCATACTTGACCAATCTCGAAACTACCGAGCACTGGTCAACGTTATACCATCAAGGACCCATAAGAGTTTCCTTTCAACTAAGAGGCCAATCACAGCGCGACACGTGTCGACATCAGAAGCCAATCATAGCGCGACATGTGTCAACATCAAAAGCCAATCACAACACAACACGTGTCAATGTCAAAACAAAACTAAAAACTCTCTTCTATAAAAGGAGATCATTCTCCCACAATATTTCCGAATGTCATTTGTACTAAATCATTCACTTGTACTCACTAAATGAGAGCTTGAACCTATGTACTTGTGTAAACCCTTCACAATTAATGAGAACTCTTCTACTCCGTGGACGTAGCCAATCTAGGTGAACCACTTACATCTTGTGTTTGCTTCCCTGTCTCTATCCATTTACATACTTATCCACACTAGCGACCGGATCAATCTAGCGAATGTCACAAACTTAACATTTTCTGTTGTACCAAAGTCCCTACTGATTTTGTGCATCAACAATTTTCATTATGATTATTATCATTGAAATTCTTGTATTATTTTCGTATTTTCAAATATTACTCTAACAATCTAAAGACAAATTTTTTATGGGACAATTAGAAAATTATGTGAAAAAATCAAAGAGAAGAAAAATTGACATCATAAGATGACAAATCTGGCCATCATTTGGAAGAAGGGCGTTTCTCTAATATGAGATATTGATGTCAAATGGTTTGGAACTTATTAACTGTTAAGGTTTTATCACATTGAGATGAGATTTCTACACTGCCCGGCCGTATATACCTTTTCAGTGTGGCGTGCGCGGTGGTGCAGTTATAACTTTTGGTTGAAATTTGGAATCAAATCATTCATACAAAAAGGTTTCAATGCTTGGCATGAACAACTGTTTGTTTGATTGGGGTAGATCTTGTATGTCAACTAAGTTATTTATGAATTTTACTTTTGGTAGAAATACATCTGGGTACGTTCTGCACATAAAGTAATTATGTGTTTTCATGCTTTTCTGCTCTGGTTTGCATTGGTTTCTTCTGGTGCAAAGAACCGAACCATAATCTTGTACGTGCACAAGTTAAGTAAAAGTGACTAATTTGAATAATCATATGAAATGGTCAAACGGTCTGTCTTTGCAAACCGTGAGCGTGTTTGATATACTAGTCAAGACATGGCTTCACTGTTTACTGTAATATATATTTTCAAAAAATTAATCTGAGGACATGAATTTTGTTCTATACATTAGAACATACTAGAAAATCTGTTCGCACTTCGTTACGGGCATTGAATGTATTAGTCACAATAAAAAAATGTCGTACCCAGTGCACAAGGCTCCCGCTTTACGCAGGGTCTGGGAGAGGTGAATGTCGGCTAGCCTTACCCCCATTTATGGAGAGGCTACTCCCAAGTCTCGAACCCGAGACCTACCGCTTATGGGCGAAGGCACTTGCCATCGCATTTGGTAGGAAGGTAATCACACCCTCAAATGCACCAATGCAGATAACACACATTTTACGAAAAGCAAATAACACACATTAATGCCCCTTCACATAAACTGCAGGCCAAGTTGCGGAGAACACATTTGCATATTCCTTCAAGGAAAATTTGTAGGCCTTTGTTAAATTATGTATTAAAGAGAACCAAACTCTATTCCCCAAACACTAAATTTGTTCGCTTGAGTCACAGTCCTCTTGCAAGGATAGTAAAACTCAAAAGCTTATTGTCCAAAACCAGAAACAATTTGTACCATTTACATGCCTATGCAACA